ATGAAATCGCCCGGGTTGCCGGTCCTCTAATAGTCTCCTCATTATTCCAAGATATCATCAAGGGAATCCCAATCGGTCAACCAGATGAGCAGGTATCAATTAATTACTATTATTACCATTATTATCATTATTATTACTATCATTATTATTATTATTACTACTATTACTACTACTATCATTATTATTATTATTATTACTATCATTATCACTCGTTATCATTACTCTTATCACTATTTTAAGGTAATACTCTCCCCCAATCTTGCCATACCATAACATATCCTACTACCCTCTAATATACTTTTATTTCAGTTTAGAAGACTCGAGAAAAGGGTGAATTCGAATCGCGTCAATGCAGTTGCACAGCAGGAATTGTGAGTTTGCTGCAGATCGATTTGATGATCGAAATTTGGAAATTTTTCCCGGAAAATGATCTAAATTTGGAAATTTTCTGCAAAATTAACAAAAATTTCTAAATTTTTCCCAAAAAATTCCTTAAAATCAGCAAAAAAAAACGAGCAGACAAAGCCCTTAACCTAAATTTCTTTAAATTCCAGTGGACCTCCTGATTTGAAAGCTCAACAAGCTGGCGACATAACGTTGAAGGCTAGAGCTCAACCGGAGTTGCCGCATCAAAACGCAGCAGCAGCAGCAGCAGCCTCAAGACATCGCTACTCAACCGACCAACACCGAGCACCCCTCTCAAAATCAGTCAGTACCATAACTAAACTCAAATTTTTCCTTCTCTTTGGGGGAATTTTTCTNAAAAATTCCAAATTGCAAATTTCAGGAACGACCCCGAGCTGCAAAACCATTCGCTCCAGTTAACGGCGCCCAAATGCGACCACCCACTGCCCCTATCGGCCAATTCCGTGGGCAACAACCATGGTCACAGGTACCCCAGGGTGTTGGGCAGGTTTGGCAGCAGGCTCCACCCTTCCAACAACCCCAGCAGCCAGTCCAAGTGCAAGCGCAAGCCCGTTTCCCGGCTCAATTCCAGCCTCAGCAAGTTCAGCCGCAATTCCAAGGCCAATGGCCACCACCAGCTCAAACCCAATTCCTACAACCTCAACCTCAGGTCCCACAAGGACGATGGCCAGGGCAATTTCCAGCCCAGAACCCGCAATTTGTGCCGTCAGCCCAGAGGCTTCCGTCGCCACCGCAGATGTCCCGATTTCAAGTGGCCCCTTCGGCCGCAAGACCACCGCCACCACCCCCTCTAGCTCAACGTTCCCGTGTTTTACCCGCGCAGGCAGTTCAACCTGCCCAACAGGCATCTGCCCTAATCCCATGGAATCAGCGGCAACAACCACCACGACAAATACTACC